TACAGCCAGTCCCTCCGTCCATTGGATCATGCTGTTCAGCACCTTTGTTTCGTCCAGCCGTTTTCTCTGTGCAGCCGGTATGGCCTTCCCCTTCGGCTCTTCTTCTTCTTCTCGTTTAAACACCTTATCTTTCAATTGTGCCTGCCCGATACCCACCTCCCGCCGCTTTTGTTGCAGCACGCCGAATACCTGAAGCGGCTTTGGCACGACTCGATCCGGGTGACGTGCCATCTGTTAATCACCTGGGCGATCCCTTGCCTGCGCCCACGTTCGTGGAGAGTCAGCTGCTAGGGCGGGGCCGTCTCATGCAGCAGCTCATGATTGTACATCTCGCGGGCCGCCCTCCCGAGGTATTGCCATGTGCCGTTCAATCTCATGGCATCGCGGTCGTAAACCCTGACCCCAATATGCTACGGGGCCAGTTGCCCGCGCGTGTTGCGGATTTGGCTGGCGCTTTCACGGTGGTTTGCGTGGATCAAGTCCGAGACCGGCAGGACTTGCTGGATCGTGTCCGCCGTGCACCAGGCCTGAAAGTGCGTGGCAACATCGTCGTCGCCTGGGTGCGTTTCCTTCAACATAACGATGAAGATGAAGGTGCAGTGGATGAAGAAGCTATACAGGAGTATGAGCGTATGGGATGCATTGCACAAGTACCGGAAGCACTGCTGCGCTCCGCAATCGGTCCTACCGATCCGGAAGTCGCTGGTGTACTGCGAAGTACCTTCCTACACGACCGTACCGGTGCTGCTGGTGTACGGCAGCTGCATGAAACGTTGCAAGGAAACATCGTTGGTAATAACTTTGATGGCGGTGGCGTTTATGGTTCACCACTTGAGACAGGTGCGACTTTTCATAGCTGACGTAGGGCTGCATACTGCATATGACGCTTCCAAACTGGCATTATTACTTCCACCTGCTTCACGCACGTCCTTCCAACCTTAATGTTCCTGTGTTATAGCTGCCGACGACACCACAGCTGGACCGACCGGCACAGCTAATGATATCCTTCATGATGCTGGCGCCTATGGACCACCGCTTCGTACAGGTGCGACTTGTTAAGTACGGCATACATCACTGAAGTTGACAACTGAATACTGCCACCTATACATGCTGCTACGTCCGTTCACTTCCACCTCGCGGTATTGTTTCCACCTGATTCGCATGCATCCTCCCGGCAATGGTGATTCTGTACTCGTGCATCTGTTATAGGTCCCGATGTACCCGCGCCTGGAACGACCACCTCCGACACTCGCATGGCAGGTATGTGTGTGATGGGTACACGGCACGTATGGGTACGGTACGGTACCAACCTAGCAAAACGGTACATACATAACTGTTTATCCACACCCGTAACACCATTGTCCTGTACAGCCTGTATACAGCTGTATACAGCTGCGGTTTTTCACATGCTATAAGTGCTGCCGTATGTGTCGTCCGAACGTGTTAGATTCCGAACCATTAACTGTGCTTCTGTTCACCTCCTCGTACGTCTGCGCAACCGTGTTTATTTTCCATCATAGATGCTGGTGCTACGGGCTTGGCGCCTGTCGCGGTCGTCCTGCGCCAACCAGGCGATCCTGGTAAGAATATCCGATGTGCACTATTCGTCGTGTTAGTGCTGCATGTCTTATGCGAACGTTGCGGATGTCACTCGAGTAACGTGCCATTTGCCCATCTTACGAATATCCGCCCCCACCACCCAACGCAGCTGATGCCAATCTGGGCATCCCGAATGAACTGGAGGTGGTCCTTCCACAACCAGCTCCTGTTCCGACGGACGGCACCGACTTTGATAACCGGCCCAACGTGGTGCATGACTTGCTCACCGGGCGTGCACGTCTCGCGTTCGCTGCTGGCGGCCGTGGTGCTCAGATCCTGGATGACCGCCATCCAGCCATCCTCAACGTCTGCTTCCCGGTTTCGTTTCCATATGGTTTGTCCGGACAACGGCCACCGGGTATGTCGTTCGCCTCGTATTGCAGCCACCTCGTACGGAGGGTGCCACGGGCGCAGTTCAGTGGTAACTTGATGCTGCTTGCCCGAATGTATGATATCAGCGTGCGGCAGCAAAGCATGGCGCAGGTAGGAGTGGCCCTGCGCATGCGACCACGGCTGGGTGGAGCAGCGGCACTAGTACCACGGGATGTGGTACGTACCATGGCAGACATCTTGGCACTACCGTACCGTCATGCGCAGCGACGGCACCTGCTGTCGCAACAGTCACCCGTGGTGCGTGCCCTCCTGGATGGCGCACGCGCCAGCCTGCTACGAATCGACCTTACGGATGCCTACTACAACGGTGCAAAAGCCACGATGCGTGCGGCTGCCCTCACTATTGGCTGGCCGCCATTGTTCTTCAATCTGAACCCGGCGGACATGCACGCTAGCTGTGCCGTTGTAGCCTCCGGTCAGGTCATAGATTTTGATGACGCCGGGCGTCCGACCCATATCAGCAGCACGGTGGAAAAGTGGCGCCGCGTCAAAGAAGACCCGCACAGCTGTGCGGCGCTGCTCATCGCCACCAAAGAGGTGTTGGTGGAACACCTGTTTGGCTTCACGCCTGGAGCAATGCGACAAACTGACCCCAACTGTTTCTGTGGGGTCGTATTTGAGGTAGTCGTGAAAATCGAGCAGAGCGGACGATTGGCACTACACCTGCACGGAGTCGCACACCTCCAGTACTTCGCGCTGGACAACCTCCAAGCGTTATTCTGCGGTCCGAATTGCCGAGCTCTGGCGCTTGCATACGCGTTGTGCGAAATGTGGTACCCCTCGCCGTACTATGCTCCGACACCGACCAATGAAATGCAGCCTCTCGTCATGGGTATGTCTAATACGGAAGCGCAGCAACACGGCTTGTCCGTGCCAGAAGTACAGGCAAATTGCCCACCTGCCGCGTACGACTTTGAATGCCTGGCAGGGTGTGCAAACGGCGGACTACCACCTCCATCCCGGCACTGCGCCTGCCGTGCCCATCATGCTGCCGCCATACGCAGCACCCTCACCCACACCCACAGTTCAACATGCAAGCGGCACGGCTGCCGTGGCACCGACGACAGCTGCGGCATGGCCTTTCCCCGATTTATCCGCACAGCTTTCCAGTGGGTCGGTACCACCGGTCTATTTTTGCTGCCCCGCCTCGCATCCAACCTGGTGCCGCACATGCCTGCGATTGCTCTGGCCTTCGGATGCAACCATCTGATGTCCCTGGCCTGCGAAGTCGACCGGGATTACACGGCTGACATCGCCGCCCAACTAGCGCGTCCCATCAACGAACGCGGCGACTGCCCCCTCCTACAACCCGCCATTGATCGCGCCCGTGACGCTGCGTACTACAGCTCCAAGTACACTGCGAAGACAATCGAACGCAGCCAGGCGCACCTCACGTGTACCGCCGTAGGGCGTGTACAGGACTTCATGATGGCAGGTCACCAACCCAGTGCCACTGGTCATGAACCCAGCGTGTTCGGCAACCTGTGTACTGCGGTGCATCGCATGACGGCTACCATCACGGCCGGCATGGCACTGGTTGCTTTCAAACTATCGGGCCACGACACGTTCCAAGCAACCTACAAACGCAACTACCTGGCGACAGGCGCCTTCACTGCACTGGCATCCGATTCCGCTGTGGAACCAGAAGACGCGGAAACCGGCGTGGAGCTTGTAGAGGCGGACGAACATGGCGACTACACCCTCGCCAACGTTGTGCAAAACTACACGCAACGTGGTGTGGAGCTGAGCGGCTTGGACTGCAGCGCTTACACCATCGCATCCAACTTCGAGGTGAAACGTGTAACACCCGCGCAACACCCTCATGCTGCCGTCCTTGGCGCTCAAACCCACGCCGTACCTGGCCGCCGCAAACGCAAGGTCCCTGGCGCCGCCATTACCCCTACGACTGACGCACCTCGCGCTCCATCTGGCAACCAGCCCGACACTCCATTGACGTCCCCTGCACCAGCCGGCCCATCCGTGGAACAGCTGCCCACTAACCCAACGTCAACCATACCTCCCAAGAATGTGGCCTTCCAACCAACGCACCCCCTATATCTGACGCACGTACTTCATCGCCTAGCGCAACCAAGGTACGTTGTGTTGGGTGGCAAACTGCCCCGTCGCCCGCAAGCAGAAAGCACCACCGCAGCCGCCACCGCCTACTATGCGTTCGTTTTAGGAGTCTTTAAGGCCCACCGGGCCAACCAGTGGCTGCCGATCAG